ACGAACAGTTTCAGCGGGAGGTGGAACTCATTACGAGAGACGGATCTGATCCCAAGTGGAGCTGGTGGACTTTATCTTCAAACGACCACTGACGAGCAAATGGCAAAGGGCCCAGGCGACATCAAAGGTGGCTTGCAATTGGCTGCCCGTCGTCGACAAGGCACTCAGGGACGAGCATGCACGCACAATGCAGACCAATGACACAGGGTAACTCCGCACAGAAGGGGGCCTGCCCGTAGAATTAGATGGCAATCCAGCCAAAGGTAGATAGTTAGCTGCAAAGCACCCTCCCGGAGTTTTATAAATTCTCCGGTGGGGGCTTGCACTAGGCCGGTTCCTATGTGGGCGTCTTTGTACGCTGAGGTACTCCGGTTCAATTATGGCTCCGTTCACGCGGTGTGGTCTATTGAGGTGAGCCTTAAAAATAAAAACTTCGTTTATTTTTTTTTTTGGGACTGCAGTACAATCCCAAAAGTTGATTTTCGGGACAGTAATGGTTCCAAAAAGTGTTGCCGTTTCTTCCCGGGAAGGTCCAAGGCATTGTGTGTCATTGTTCTTTGAGCCTGAATTGTGCACTACGCTAAAAGCTAGTGTTAAAGATCTTTTCGAGTGTTTTGTGTTTTGAGAGAATGAAAGTTATGAGAGAGATTAGAAAGCCATGAAAACTAATCAGCGAGTGTTGGAGGAAATCATACCTGACACCTCTTTACTATTGACTCGTGTATTAATCATCTAGTCCGGTTCGCATGTAAATTCATATGAAGGAACCAAGGGAGTTTAGGTCTAAAGTGTTTAGCGGGCGTCCTTATATCCAATCAATCACAAGGAATTGCTATGCCCACCGAAAATCCTCACTTTTGCTTTTCATCTTAATCCTAAACCAATTACTCCCCAATAAGCGCAGTTATTACTAGCAATAACACGGAAAAGCCAAAGTCTCATCTCGAGTTCGACAGTCAACACCTCGAGATTGATATCATCAAGTTGAACCTGAAGTATACAATAACAAGAGGTATCAAGTGAGGCAACACCTGCAACAGAGAAGAGGTGCGCAAAATTACTGCAACAAAGACAATATAAAGGATACAAAAGCTCTAACACGAAAAGGGTGCTTGCGCGGGATTCCCATCTTCAAGTGGAAAATCAAGGTACGACGATCGTCTAACAGTTTCCGGCCCGGAACTCCGGACATCCAAGGGTACCAGTGTAAAGACATCGCGATTACAAGGCGATTTCATACTTGAACGACGGAGATCCGGCTGTTATTCTAGAGTTACAGTCGATTACGTCATCGTGTCAACGCGGAGTATTTTCGTACATCTCATCACAAACGAGCAGAAGCATCGAACGGGAATCAAGATAGATCCTGACACCGAACGTTGCAAGCAAGAGGACCCATACATCAATCGATATGAGGACATCTAGCCGCATCTATCGGTATCAGTGCAAGCTTCTAATCCAAAATTGAGTGAGATAGGTTGATCGGGTGATACAGTGCTATTGTGAAGAGAAACACAAAAAATCACCGAAGTCACAAGGATCCAAAATCCAATCGTTCACTGATAAAACTTTCGTATAACTCAAACAGTGACTTAACCCAAGAATACCAAGACCATCTGCATGCTTTGCAGAGGCAACAAGAGACCAACAGAGGCAGTTCGCTACTACCCCAAGGTCCATACCACGTTTCTAACCGTGAGTTGTCAACGACAGAGGCTATCGTGTTTAGCGCTTCTTTTTCCACTGGTCATCCCGGTCTTTGCCAATGCGCTGGGCAGGCATTTCGATGCTCCACAGGTTCCTACCACTGGCTGGATGAGGCAGCTGAGGCCTAGGTTGGTGACAGTCCAGAGTGCCAGTCCATATATATGATTTGTCTGTCTCGCCCGCACGCCACGGACTATGCAGATATGCATCTTGTTGCTTAGCCCAGTCCGTGGACAAACGTCCTCTCAGGAAGTTGTCCCAACCAATGAGATTTCTTGGAGGTGTTCAACAGAGGTTCCCTATACCTGTCAGGGTAGTGCCATGGGTGGAGGAATCGATCTTCAAAGTGGGATTGTAGTCCATCCAGAAGCAATTTCCAGGAGGGAGGGGTCTGTGGAATCCTTGCGCCACCTTGTGCTGATCGCTCGTTGCTTGGTCCCTCGCCACAAATGCACGTCAACATGCGGGCATCGGTAAACATGGGTCTCTGTCTCGTGATCATCACCGCAACGGGGGCAGTTGTGATCATATTTGGGGTCATCCCGGTGGACCCGTTTTCCAACTGGCAACAATTGACATAGGAACTTCACAATTGTCGGTTTTGATGATCTCGTGACGGTTGAAGCTGACCATGGGCTGTCCAATCCACCAGTGCAGGGGTGTCCTCGTCCACGTCGGGATTCAGTTTGAACAATGTGGTCGAACAGGGGCTGGTCGGTTCGGAGATGCCGCAGTGTTCTTGGAAGCTTGTATGTGCATGTTCCTCTGGGAAGGTGCAGCTGGGCCAGGTTTGCCGGAAATCGGAGTACCTTGGAAATTGTACTGCAGTCCCCACCAGCAGTGGAGCGGAGTATCGGCAGAGGTGGCCAAAAGGAAGCTAAGGGGCAATGAAGATGCGGATCGAATGCTACAACATGCAACCGAAACGCCACAGCCAGAGCATTGTAGTGACCTTCCCCTGGGATGGTACGATTCCTATGGTGATAATTGTGAATGGTACAGTAACTACAAATGTTACCAGGAATATATGCATTCAACATCTACTGTAGTCGGGACTCCAATCTTGTATTCAAGAGTGTAACCCTTTGTCCAGCTATCCATTCACGGCTTTTTCTCTAGCAATGCATAACTTCGCCTCCAGGATGATTCAAAGACGAAGAGGGTGACAAAGGCTCTGTGCGATCTTCTGTGGGGTCTTCTGTGGGGTCTTGGTTCATTTGCTGATCTATCTTCGAAGAGGGCTTGTCTACCTGTGGAGATGACAAGTTCTGCTCTTCATCCATTGCCTTTTTGCCATCAGGACCCGCCTCACTATCGTCATCGTCCTCCTCTTCCAAGTCTGAGAAATAATCACAGCAAACAACATACAACATCTGTTTCATCAATTCAAATGCAACAGACCACACAAACACACCCAATCCAACAGTGCTTATGATGTCCATCCATGCCTTTTTCCCCTCTCCGAGCTGTGCACTGGTATGAGAAAAATGCAAAGTAAAGGTTAACCCCCAGATCATTTGCAACAGGATCATGAAATAGGCCGCCGGATTACAACACTGAGACTCTCTCCGGAGCATCCCATTCCACCAAAGGACGAAAAGAAGAAGAAGAATGCTGTTAGCAGACGACACTGGACAATTGACTACTTCTTGGTGGCAAATCCTCGTAAAATTGTCCGTAAATCTGTCCAAAGCTCAATTTTTTGTCCAATTCATGAAGCCCGAGAAAAGCCTCGCAGACAGATGTCTTGGCGGCTGCATGCCATTGGCTTGTTTCCCGCTGTAGCCAGCAGCATCATACCAACAAAGTTCCTCTGGCCAGGTGTCACCATGAAAGTAAACAAGCCAATCGTCTTGGATGGTGTCCGTATCTTTGCAGTTAGAATCGGGTTTGTCTCCATCAATGCAATCACAGACTACCTTTTCCTCCAAATCCACCGTCTCAATGAGGGAAGTAACGGCTGTATTGACACCCACAAACACGCGCAAAAAGTACTTTTTTTTTGTTTTTTTTTTGAAAGAAACGCTCTGTCGGAGTGAAGAGTTTGTCTCCTGGATTCAAGAACACTCCAAAGAACACGTGAGATGTTACCACTGCCTTCACATAATGGTTGTTCCAAATAGAGGTAAGGTAGTTGTTGCTGCTCCTGCTGCTGCCGTTGTTGCCATCATCTTCGTCGTTCATGTTTGTTGTAGCTATTCCTTTGCTTGTGAGACGGGGCACAAAAGGAGGACAAAGAAAATTATGAGCACAAAGATATGAGCGGAGCGGTACCTTGCGTAACAAGGCAGTATCTAACCCTTTACTAGGTTACCAAGACTATGTAGCTTGGCTACCAAAGTTAAGGGTTTGACCCATCCGAAGGCCGCAACTGTATTTGTGACAGTAGATTGCCAGTTCGTCCAGGGCATCGAAACGCCTAGATTTATTAGATTTATGGATATGCAGCAGCGCAGCAGCATCTAAAAAAAGAACGCCGTATTTATTCTTTTTTTTTTTTTTTTTTTTCGATCTAGACAGAGGCCGGTTATTTATTGGACGTAGATGCAGCTGTATGCTGTATGCAGCCAGCGGCAGGTGGATGCATGATATCAAATCAGATGTATGCAGGTGGAACAGGCCGAAGGTCCCGTTTGATCAGCCGTTTTGGATCAGCGGCGCAGCTTGCCAGAATTGTTTTATATATGTCTGGCAAGAGCAAGGTTTAGTACTGGTAGTATTGGTACTACTAGTAGTATACAGCTAAAATCCAACGGCAGGACCCTTATGAAAAATCAAATCCAAAGGAAACTCGGATCTAGACAGAGGCCGGTTATTTATTGGACGTGGATGCAGCTTTATGCAGGATATCAAATCCAACGGCAGCTGTACCGTATAGACAGAGGCCGGTTATTTATTGGACGTTGATACAGCTGAAGATCTCTGGTTCGCATGGAAAAACCAAAGATCGCGATTCTCGTTCTCCCAGCTCACATTTGTAGTCGGTTGCGGTGCAGGTACCGGTACCGGTAAAGCGTGGAGGTACATGTACTGGTAGCTGTTTCTACGTACAAGGATAAATTCTTCTCGGCAAAATTCAATATTTTGTTCACGTTAAAAAATCGTCAACAGAAACATGGCCATGTCGAACCCCCAACAAGGAACCAAGATGACGACCAGTGACTTGCGCTCCAGTTCCTCCTGGACGTGTGATGAGGTCGCCGCTTATTTTCATGAGAAGGCAGGTGAACTCGGAGGAGACTTTGGTAGTGTATTCAAGGAGAACAAAATCAGTGGTAAGGTTGCGCACAAACTGACGGAGAGTCAGCTGACCCAAATGGGAATTGACAATGTTGGAGATCGGATGCACATATTGGAAGAGATTGAGAAAATCAAGCGTAGTCTTGCTAAAGAGGAGATTGAAAAGGTCCTCTGGGAAGGAGAGGAAGTGCTCTACTGGTCAAGTTGTCACAAAGCATTTGAAACCTGTTGCGGGTTGTTGCCCCGTGACCCCAGTACGTACAAGCTGACGGCTACTCATTTGACTCTCAACATTGTTGAACCACTCCGTTGTGGTCCCATCGTTTGCTGCTTTGGAGAAAAGTTTACGACGGATAACACGGACCTGAGCATGGTGACGGATGTTGACGTTGCGGGTGGCAGGAAACGTTCCACGATTACAGTTCAAACGAAGTTCGGAGGAGGCACCAAAACCATGACGCTCCGCACCAAAGAAGCCAAGCGCGTCGCAGACATGATACTCAGCCAACGCATGGAACGGGCTTAAGCAGCAACAGAAGAGATCGAATGTGTATGGCATGGTATGGATCGAATGTGTATGACATGGTATGGCATTTGGAGGAGTGCGGCTTCAAGTGAATTCAACCAACATATAGTCCAACTTCATTTTACAAACGATGTACAATTTGAAATTGTAGTATTGTACTGACATGCATTCAAGATATTGCTTCATAGTAACAGTGATCCATACCAAGTGGCGAGTGGGATCCCTTTGCTACTATCTTTTTGTGCTCGCATAAATAACTTGAAGGCGACACCAGTTCCTAGCGTGTGTGAGACGAAGGACGATAGGAATATCGAACACTCGGTAGGAACCCGTTGTGATGATTACGGCATTGCCAACAGGAATTTGGGAAAACTGCCAATTAGGCGTGTTGTCATTGTGGAGGGGGAAGCCTTATTGATGCCAAGCAATGTTGGATGCCCCTCTTTCTGACCCAGTCCCCTCGACCAACGAATGTTGGGATCTTGTTTACGACTGGACTGACAATGTTGGGGATAGTTGTGTTTGGTATTCACAGGGAAACAACTGTTTGTATTACGGAGATGAGTTTCCATGCACCACCGACGGAAACGCCAACTTGGTTTGCTGCACATGCGGGGGTGGATGTACAACTCCACCGTTGCTTGGTGATTATATTGAGGAAATTCCCGGTTGTAGCGATTCCCCTGCCCATTGGACCGATGTGGACAATGACGGATGTGACTGGTATGCGGAAGATGACAACTGCCAGGTCTTTGGAAGTGGATATGCTGGCGAAGATGGGAAAACTGCCAACGAGGCCTGCTGTTTCTGCGGGGGTGGGTACGATCCGAATGCTCCCCGAATTGTTCCAAATATCACCACTCCTTGTACGGATGTTCTGGATTGGACTGATTCCGGGGGTGATCCTTGCTCCTGGTACGAGACAGACGACCATTGTTTTCGATTTGGAACTGCCAATGCAGGTCCAGATGGCTCTACTGCAGTGGAATCCTGTTGTGTCTGTGGAGGTGGAGCGGCCCCTCTCTGTAGTGACAAGGCAGATTGGACCGATTTGGAGGGTGATCCTTGCTCGTGGTATGAGATAGAGGACCGATGTTTGCAATTTGGAATTGCCAATGCGGGGATTGACGGAACAACTGCCTCGGAGTCCTGCTGTGTCTGTGGAGGATCTGCTCCCGTGTGCAACGACAATGGACGGATTCGTTTGGAGATGGCTGTGTTTGGTATCTGTATGGTAATCACTGTGATGTTTACGGCAACGCCAACGAAGGAGAGGATGGAACTACAGCCCGAGAGTCCTGCTGTGGCTGTGGTGGCGGAGAAGTTCAATCGGATTCTTGTTTTGGCACTCCTGGTTGGGTGGATGGGGCACAGGATGATTGCTCTTGGTACGAATTGGATGGCAGATGCACTACGTTTGGAGGCTCGGACGCGGTGGCTAGTGCCGTTGATGGCACAACCGCCAACGAAGCCTGCTGTGTCTGCGGTGGTGGAAGTTCTGGTTCTACCTCGGCTGTGGCGGCAGCCGAGGCAAAATCCGCCCAAACGAAGAAGAAGACGAAAGGCTGGTTGGGTTGGCTCCCTGGAGGGTTTGAACCCTGATGATCAGAAGGTCGGTTTTGAATTGCTTGTTACATACATACGTGAAAGTGTCCTATCCATAAGTTAGTTGTACCGGTACATGCACTATTGCAAGAAGAAGCCAGGCGAACGTAGTCCGCCTCGATCGTCGTTTAGGTGTACCGTACGGTAGTCAGTCAGTCAATCTCCGTAGAGTGTACTTTACGAGCAGAGAGCCATTTTCTGAATGAATCGAATCAGAATTGAAGGATTCATTCTGCTCGTAGCTTTTGGTTTTGAGCCATGAAGAGGGGCAAAGAGGGCCGTCGACAAGCTTTCATCACTTTCACGGTGTCCCTTGATTGAATTGATGGTGAAAGCATGGTCCTTGGTACCGGTAGAGCTGCCCGGATTCTTTCTTTGCCCAAGCCTGGCCCATTGTCGGTTTCCGTAGATTGATTCCTTACTCTAACCCCCCCCTTTTTCTTGACTTCTAGCTAGCTACCGGGAGATGTTAAAAGAATCGGGAATTCTCGCTTTTTTGAACACCACCAGTTTATTCATCAGTGATTAACACACACTTACCCAAAGCTTTAACATCCACTTTTTGCTCCCTAGCTCTATTGTCCTTCAGTCCCGTATTTGAACACACACTTAGTCAATTTGGAGAAACAAGAGTTTCTTGTGATGCCTGAATCAAAACTCTCATTATTTCTTTGGTTTCATGATACAGCATGTTTACAGCTTGTTTGCCTTAGTGTTAAACAAAAGGGGAAGAAAACTGGTGGTGTTAAACAAAGCAGGGAAAAAGCTGGTGGTGTTTAAAAAACGGAGAATTCCCGCTTATTTTAACATCTCCCCGGTAGCTAGAAAGTTCAGAGCTCGAGGGGACCCTCTTTCTCTTCACTCAAAAGGTTAAGGATTTAGGCAGTGACTCCCACGACTCGACTCGAGATGGCCGTTTCCTTCCTTCTACCACCCACAGTTTCCTTCTGCCGCCATTTCCTCATTTCCTCGCTCCCACCACGCAACAGAAGGTCTACTGTACTTGTCGGACCAGTTAGTTGAAGCTATATCCCTTTGCATTGCCGTGAGGAGGACGCGAGGACTGACTACAGTATGGATGAAGAAGGGTACGATGGAAGAGGGAGTGGTGGATCAGATAGCCAAGAGAAGGACGAGCATATTAATAATGGCGGGGGAAGTCTAGAAGAAGAAGAAGGAGAGGTTACTACCGGTACCACGGATGACAATGACGCTCGTGAGAGTGCTCAAGATCAGATTGGTACTACTAGTAGTGAGACTAGCACTAGTGAAGCTTGTACGGACAATGGAAGCAGACAAGAAGCTGAAGATACTGTTAGGAAGGAAAAGACTACGGCTGCTGAAGAGGCTGAACAAGGGAGCGACAAGACTACGCAAGAATCAGCTGCTACTAGTACGTTTACTGAACAACGACAAGGGGATGACTTGCAGAAATTCGCAGCCATTCCGACTCGACACTCTCTGGGCAAGAGACAAGGTCTGCCTGCTGTAACCGTAGACAATGAAAAGGAACGAAAGTTTGCGGCCATTCCCACCAACCCTTCACTGGGACAACGTCGCAGCAGTGCGGCATCCTCGATTGCCACCAGCAGTAACAGCAGTCAACCGGGAGCCTTTGCCATGGATGGATTCTCTAAACCAGAAACCTTGGCTCCTTCAGTTCTCACTGTAGTGGAACAAATGCAGTTTGCCAAGGCCACCACCACAAACACCACTGCTGTAACTGCAACCACATCAGATGAAACCGACAATCATCACGACGAGGAACAGCAGGACAGCAATAACGATGTGACAAATCATACTAATGATGAGCAAGAACCTCAGACCATGCAACACCCCACGACGACGACAACCATGCACGCCACCTCAAACCAAAATACTTCTAGTCAGGAACCCTCTCCTCCTCCACAACAAGAGCCAACACACGCAGAGGAAGCACAAGAAGGTGCACCCATGGTCGTGGCCGAACTGGTCGACCCACCGGTCGAAGCTGTACAAGTCATTTTTGATGAAGGGACAGCACAGTTGCAAATGATGGATGAGGAACCAGCAACCCACCACATTAGCACCAGCAGCAACCACCGAAAGAGCACAAGGGGATGGTGGATTACTCTGGTGGCAGTGCTGGTCATTGTGGTCCTTCTGTGCATCGTTATTGTACCACGAGCCCTGAAAGAGGATAACGATGATGATGCACCACCAGCACAACAACAGCAAAATGAATTGGAAGAATCTTCCAACAATATTACTGGACCCCCAGTAGTACCACCAATCAATATCACATATCCCTACGAATGCTTCCGGAGTACCATGGACTTGTTTCGAGCGCAACTGAATCGACCCAATCAGACACGATTCATCCTCTGTCCATTTACCACTATCCGCATTGGTGTACTGGCCGATCCAACAGAAATGATACACTCATCAAACACGGGGATGTACCACTCATGTTTCAACGCAGCAACGTCAAGTCTGGTGTGGGGAGGATGGATCTCTAGACAACCAGTGTGTGTTGGATGGAGGAATCGTTCAAGTTCTGTTTCATCCCCTCTTGCCATCCACACAAAAACAGGAACTCTTTGCCGCAGAGGATACCACAAATAACATTACCATTCGGGGTATTACATTTACAGGGGAATTGATCCATGACCCCCTCTCGGAAAGTGTAAGTGCGTTGGTTTTGACAGAGAGAGAACGTGAATCAATCAAACGCAATAGCTACCTTGGACTATATGTACTCACATCACCTGTCGTTCCTATTTACTACAAAGTCGTCTGTGGTTCTCAGCAATAAAGGAAAGAACATTTCATTTGTGGATTGTTTGTGGCAAGACATGATCGCCGGGAGAGGCCTGGTCTTTGCCGGCAACAATCTGTACCAGGAGCATGCGGGATTGAAACTGGTGACACCGCGGTCGGTAGAGTTTACGTTTGACAACTGCACCTTTCGAAACATTACCTACAATGAGAGAATGATTGCCATTCATAGTCAAAGTTTGACTCTGAAACGGTGTCGATTTGAAGACATCCAGCTCCAGGATGCCATTACCTTCTGCGAAGAACACGGGGGTGGCGCTTATTACTGCCACGGGCTACTCTACTGTGAAGGGGGAAGCGAATGCGCCTTGCACGACATTTGCATTCGCAACCTGGAATTTGTGGGCTTGGCAGCAATACTTGTGGCAACTGTGGATTCCAAGCTGTCGTTTTCGGGAAGCTACAGCATCGAGGGGATCACGGAACGCGATACCGGGATTTTCGAGGAGGAACGGGTCTGTGAATCTGGATTTAGTCGTTATTGGGCAGACTACGATGGTGACAATTATGCTACCCCTCTACCTATTGGTTGCATCGACCAAAAAGTTTTGGATGCAAAGTGGACACGCGCGCCAAGAAGAACCTGTATGCTCGACAGTTCTGCAGAGGGAGCAAACCAATCTGTCAATCATACCGCCGTTGGCTATGACTGCTATTCCAGTACAACAGATCTCGTGCTGGACCACTACCTGAATCCAGAGCAGGATCTTTTCATCATTTGCCCAAATACAACAATCACAATTGGAATCATGGCGAACCCAGTTTTGGGAGATTTTAATGTCGTCAATGGGGACTTCGCTCTGACCCTTTTCCGCCCAAATGTCGAAGTGCGATGTGGACTGGATGGTGCTGTGGAAAATCGTTGCATCTTGGACGGTGGTTTCATTCAGGTTACGACCGTTTCTCAGATTACGACGGAACTTGGGATTGAATCGACCGACAACGTAACCATCCGAGGCCTGACGTTCACCGGGCAGATCATGGCCGATGGGACTTTTGGTGGTGCTTCTGCAATCTTCAGCAGCCCTGGAGCCAACCAGCGGATAGTGAATTGCCTGTGGGAGAATTGTACCGCTCCACATGGTTTGATCTATGTTGGGAGCAACGTTGCTCAATATCTCTCGAGCGAAGGCTTGCTCAAACCCGGTGGTGTTGATCTGATCATCTCCAACAGCACCTTTCGAAACATCCACTACGATGGACCCATCATGAATGCCTGGAAACAAAACTTGACCGTGACAAGAGCCCGGTTCGAGAATATCAGGCTCTTGGAACTATCAGGCTTTTGCCCAAGGCGTGGGGTGGGTCATTGCCAAAGTTTGATGGTCTGTGATGATATGGCGACCTGTCGCTTGGGAGATGTCTGTGTGGATGGCCTAGACTTTGCGGGGTTGGCACCCTTAATCTTGGCTACACGCGATACAACAGTGGAGCTCCCTGGCTTTCATTACATCAATGACACTAGAAAGAGGGGTCCACCGGAGCAATGTGCCACCTCCAACCTGGCGTGGATTGACTATGACGGTGGAGAGTCATCTTGCTTCGACGAGGAAGCCGAAATAGGTTTGAACCTTGTGGATGCTTGTTTGCTGGACTGATGATCAGTCAGTAAAGTAAGTACGGTGTGACAAAAATGGTGGAGCAGATCGAGGCATGGTGGCTACCGTACGAATGGAATGGCATCCCCACAAAGCAACACCAACTTTATTTTCGACATGACGCTACCTTTCCGACAGACGAACAATCCAGAACCATCGATGCGTTTGAAAAAAGCGACAAAAAACCCTTTTGCCAGCCACAACCGATTTGCGTTGCACCATCTCACCGTACCGTACGGTACGACAAAGGCTGCATGGAATTTGCACAAGGCGACACTCCCCCACGCATACAAGAGAGCTCTGCCTCGCCAGAAACCACCTACTACGGTAGCCAAGTGCAGTGCACCTCATGTAGATACCAAGAAGGCCCCACATGGCCGAGGAGTCGGACACGATCGAACTGCTGGACTGATCGATCAGTCAGTAATAAGTACCAGGCAACCAAACGGCGACAGGCGACACAACCACTCAAACAGCCGACACGGCAGTGGTTTCTGCAGATTGTACTCTGCATAGAGTACATGTAGTAGCCGCTTGTTGTTGGAAGCGTCGCTCTGTGCAAGAGGCGCCGTGGCGATGATAGCTTCTGAGCGTTGCGTGAGGCAAAAGAACATTGCAAACTTCTGATGCCATCAGATTCTCTTGTCAAGTTCGTCCTACAGATACAAGAGAGCTCTGCCTCGCCAGAGTTCACCTACTACAGTATGATAGCCAGCTGAAGTGCTGCACCTCTTGGATTGGCAAGCATGTTGTAGATTCGATTCAAAACCAAGAAAGAGCCGGCATACAGTACGAACCCGAGGACTCGATCATTCGATTGGTTGGCGAATCTTCACTGGCAGCCAAGAACCATGTCATGGGCGTCACTATTGTACACTACACGTACGGTACTAAAGCAGCTTTAGAGCCTTGAAAATAAATAACCAGGCAGATAGCTAGCCATTCTCATTTTGCGTTTCGTTACGTTACGGTACGGTACGTTAGCAAAGGATCATACATAATAACAATGTCCAGATCGGCTACACGTAGTACTAGTACCAGAGCTGAAAGTGGTGTTCGAAGAACTAGTCCCACAATCCTGGAAACGAGAGAAGAACGTGCCAGTGGATTGGATTGGATTCAATTTGATTTGATTTGATATCATTCGTCTCCTCTCCATTGCACTCCAATCCAATCCAATCCAATCGGTGGCTGGCTGGCTGGCTGATCCAAGGCAGCAAGCACCTCTACTCTTGCCTCCATTCAAATCCTTCAATTTCATCTAAAAGTGCCTTTCGATCGGGATCTAGATATCCACTGGCATGGGCACGCCGTTGATTGTCTTTCCATACTTTGGCGCGGTCGCTCAATGTCGGCAGTTTACTAGTATCGGACTGTTGCAATTTGTATTGCTGCAATTGTTCGTAATACGTCTTGACTTGCTTGTAGCGTCGATGCCAGGATTCGTCATGTATTTCGGCAAAATCCCAAGTAAATCCGATATCGCAAAGGGCTTGGTATCGATCCCATCGCAATTGTCCCTTTTTGTGGTATTGGCGTTGCGTATGGACCCAATTGGCCAATTTTTTATTCTTGACAAAGGTGAGTGGCACATTGCAATCGCCGTGCTCTTCTTGATACGCCAATAATTCTTGAAAGCGAAGATTCCATCGTTGTTCGAATTTGGTTTGTTTGCGGGCTCCTCCCGGTCGTAGTCGTACCACAAATCCAATGGCGGCCAATCGTTCTCGTTGGTCTTCTGTGAGTGCAGCTTGTGATGAGGAGGATGTTTCTAATTCCGACAGTTTCCATCGAGATCGTTGATTCATGACCCAAATTCCCAAGGGCGGATCCTTCTCGTACTGTTGTGGTACCACACAATGTCCATGTTCTTGTTGAAATGCTACCAATCGGTCAAACATGTCCTCCCATTGTTGCTGTCGTTTGGCATCGAGGGACGATTCCCATAGAAATCCCAATTCGTCCAATTGTTGTTTTTGAATTTGTGTCAATAATGATTTTTGACGTCGCAAATTATAGACGAATCGTCCCAATTGTGGATAGTGCGACGATCGATCGGGAATGTTGACCGTGCCATGGCGGTCCCGGTATTCGCACAGAGCGGCCAAATTGTCGTCCCATGTGGGATTGTCGACCGTGAGAGGACTCAGGTTGGCATCGTTCGACAAGAAAAATGTGGATGTGTCGATATTATTGTCATTATTGTTGTTGTTGTTGTTGTTGTCATTGTCATTGTCATTGGCTGACGAAGAGAGAAATCTGGATATGGACTTTAGTCGATGTACATGATGATGATGATGGCAAATTGGATACCTCGATACATCATGAACATGTAATAGATGTAGTTTTCTCGTACGCGTCGACTTGGTCAACAACGCTGACAGAACATTCCTCACACTCATTGCTCACTCATCAACCCTGTCTACTACTACCAGTACTACTAGCTGTAATACCTATCTATGGATGGATGGATGGATGGCTGTCAACGAGAACTGAACACCTGGGGTGTGTATCCGTTGCCAAGATGGCGGCAAAAATAATGAAACTAACTATTACTCAATACTCTTGGGGGCAAACACGGGACCTTTGGGAAATTGAGTCAGGGAACCACAAAAAACAAAAACCAGGAGAAAGTTAAATTTTCAAATGTCTCCTAATTAATAAGGGAGAAGAGAAGTCTCCTTTTAAAATGGGAGATTAGCGACTTAATTAAATGATGTAAAGGAGAAGTCTCCAGGTTTTAGGAGAAGACTTAGACTATACTCAGTACTCAGGTCCTTCTCCCTTTCCGGAAGAAGAATCGAGAGCGTAGCAGACTTCTCCTTTCGAAAGGAGACCTATGATAAGAGACGTCATTTTCATGACTTACTAAATACCCAACGGTCCGGTACTGCAGTAACAATAGTATAATTTAATACCTGCTATTAATAATATTAATAGTACATGTACTTTTAAAACAAAAGGGGACCAACCAAAAGTTTGGAACTATTACCTCGGCAGTCTTGCTGCCAGAGCCCTCAACCCCTTTAATTGTTTTTCCTGCTACGGTGGTCCCTGCAGGTATAAGGGTAGGGTTAGAATACAAATAAGTCAGCAAAAACTAAATAAGTATCATGGGATGGTGCTAAAGCTATTTACATGCATCCTAGTAGGCGGATCTGCTTCTACCAGGAAAAACTCTAAAGCTAGCAAAAGCTATCTAACTAGTATTCTAGCTAGCTTGGGGTATCTGCTTCTAGCTTGCTATGGGAATCTGCTTCTAGCTAGGGGATCTGCTTCTAGCTATTTAAGCGCAAGTTAAGGGCACTGTCTACCGAAGCTACTAAAGGCGCTCTTAAACCAAAAATCGTCGTTTAGTCGAAAGTTTAGTATTTTCGGCAGTGTCTACCCATGCTACTAAAGCTATTTTTGACTAAACTCGTTAGTCAAAGGTCGTCGTTTTTGACTAACGGGAGGCTCTTTAGTGAAAATTGCTCACCAACACAAAAGGCTTGACTAACAGTCTTTTAAGCAGCAGCAGCAGCAGCAGCAACAGCAGCAGCAGCAGCAACAGCAGCAATAGCAGCAACAGCAGCAACAGCAGCAACAGCAGCAACAGCAGCAACAAGCCAACCAACCAACCAACTACTTGCCTCTTGTTATCTGTATCTCTACCACTTATTATCCTCACTTTTACTATTATTTTCAATGCATTTCGGGATTATTTTCAAATGTCCCTAACTCATGCCAGAGATTGCCGCAAGTACTTTGACATCGTTATGCGGCAGTTGTATCAAGAAGAATACCTACGAATGCCCACTGCCGCAGACTTGAAAGCAATTTCAGATTTACACCAGCAAGTCCACGGTGTTCCCGGGATGCTTGGATCCCTTGATTGCATGCACAATGCATGGAAGAATTGTCCAGTTGGTTGGCAAGATGCCTACAAGGGCTCCAAGAAAATTCTCACGCTTGCCTTTGAAGGCTTGGGAGACCATAATCTATTTCTTTGGTGGGGTGCCTTTGGATATGCCGGTACACTCGATGACATTACGATATTTGACATGTCTCCCATCCAAGAAAACATATTGAATGGCACGATGAAACGGCTTGAAACAGAAAGTGGAGCCGTACCTTTCACGATCTCGGGTGAAGAATTCAACGCCTTCTTCATTTTGGTTGACAGTATATATCCCCAATTTTCTCGTTTTGTCAAGACTTTGTCCGATCCAATCCTTGATTGGGAGAAGCAGTTTTCTGCTTGGCAGGAAGCGGTACAGAAGGATATCGAAAGACTTTACAGAGTGTTGCAATGTAAGTTCCAGTACATGTTCCGGCCATTTCTGGAACTTGATTTGGAATTGATCGGAAACAGGGTCAATTCATGTCTTCTCCTACACAACATGTGCGTGGCTGATCGAGTTATGGATGGAGATGTTCGAGCCTTGTACAAGGCAGACAATGCAGTTGTCGGTAGACAAGTTGTCGATAGTCCATCGGATTTAGCAGCAATTCAAGCTAAAGATACAGATGAAGTTCCAGCTGAGATTGGATGGTCTCAACAGCCAAAGTCGGTAGAAATTGCCATGAAACGTCGATTACAGTGGAACAATTTGATGGATAAAAGCAACAACAAAGGGAGTGGAATAGAGCACAACAACAACAGGAATAATGACTGAATGAGAGAGGTTGCGATTTTCCTTCCAGCGAGCGAGTGGACGGATTTTAGTCGAACCGTTAAGCGTGTTTCGGTAGATACTGATCAGTCTAAAATTTTCGACAAAACTCACGACTAACTGTTAGTGTGCATGGTTAGTCGAAACACGGTAGACACTGACGATCTTAAAGCTTTTCGACTAAACACACGATTAAATACCAGTCTTAAACAATCTTTAAGCGCGCGTTTAGTCACCTCCGGTAAACAGTGCCCTAGCACTAGCTAAGCACTACATGTATCTGCTTCTAGCTAGCTAGCTAATACCCTGCTTCTATGTACACTGAAACCTTTCTGCCGAGGTTACACAGCTCCGCTGGCTTAAATCGGGGGGTACGGTAGGAACGTACCTCTGGGGCAGTCTTGTTCGAAGTCTTGTGGCCCTCGATCAAGATCTTTGGGTCGAAGGTTTCTGCAAATTTAATTAATCAACTCCGGAACAAGACTTGTGGTTGCTCTCATCATTACATATTCCCTCATCAGCCATCATCTATCTCCCTACCAGATGCATCCAATACTGCAACAACGCAACCCACGTACTGTATGATACAAGGAAAGCCGCCCTCGTCCTTACTCTAGCTAGCTACCATAGCTAGCAATTGAGCTACCCCGCCGTCGTCACTCTCAACATTATAAAAAAATGCCAACAACCGAAGCACCAATGACGGAAACAACGCTACCCATTATTTCGAGAACACGGAAAACGATAGCCTTGGTCGCATTGGTACAGTTTGTGGTTGCCATGACAGCCATATTGGCACTAGTTATTGTCTTGGTCAAACTAAACTACAGTGACGACGGCAACAACAGTGACATGGACAAGAATTTTAGATCCGTCCAACAAAACAGTAACAGCAACAATAATAAATCATGTGGTTCTTCCTGCTGGAAAGACGCCGTGAAGGAACGAATTAACGAATTCACGAAGGATTCAATCCATCCATGAATCCAAGGACAGCGAACTGCTAGTGCAACAGCCAGCAACATCCTTTGCCAACGCCCAAGAACCAAGAAGCAAGGAACCAAGGAATGATATTCCCATCAAACTGGCATTGGTTCGTTCAAGAACTGCTTCCGCCACTGGTACCGTACCTCCCGAGTGACGAGTCTGCTTCCAAACTTTCAGATCCACTTCCGGAACAGAATGAGCTAGATTACACCAATCCAATGACGATTAATCTTTTAAGACTGGTGTTTATTTTAAAAAAGGTGTACGGTGTGCATTGCACTCTCTACTCCAGGTGTTGATTGGTTTCATTTGAATTGAAGAGAAATGGAATATCTGGCTGGGCTCGCTAGCCGAGGCAAAAATCAAACCAAACAGCAATGGGCGACCCCAGGTACTGGTACTGTAGCTGCTGGTAAATGTATGTTGAAGCCAAGATCTTTGAATCTACCAACACGCAATTGTCCACGAAGTCAGTCGCCTATAATGCATTACCGACATGACCATCCCTTGAAGATAAGATATCCTATTTTCAGAGAAAGACAGACAAGGAGTACATGTAGAGTCTGCGCCGTGCAGTGCTTTACGATCTACACTGCACCAGTGAGGCAACTATTTATGATGTGGTAGGCTGCAAATGCGACACGAACGTTCACGGTGAGAGGCAACTATACGGTAGATACGGTAGCTCCAGGTTTGAACTCCAACAGTTGGCCCCGGCAATCCCTACAAAGGTTGGCCCCAGCACTGGATTTCCCTCAATACTCACTTACCCAGCAGTGCATTCCATCCTTTCGTTGGCCCCAGCAGTGGGCGGATTTCCCACGCTAGCTAGTACATGTAGGTTTACCCTTTCATCAATAGTACGTGTAAAGCTAAAGTGGCATATTGTGAAGGCAGAGCTCTTTATTCAACTGACTGCTTGCAAGCCACTTACTTCGTCATTGTATCGACACTTTTGGACCGGAATCTTTTTCTCTGCCAGAGATACTACTCCTTCAGTAGTATATCTACCGGTAGCTCCATCAAATCCATCAATAGCAATGGCTTCTACGTAGCCTAGCCCCAGCTGTAATCCTAAGCAAATATCGATATTGCTTATAACCAAGGGTTTTTAAACGAACATTCAATAGCTTGGCTGATTTCAGAAAGAGTTAAAGGAGCACAAACCAAAGGGCTCTATCGATTAATTCATCATTGTCAGTCGGACATATTGGAGCAGAAAGGAGGAGTAAAACAAGTCACATCACTTAATAAGAGAGGTCACTTGGGTCAGTCATTTAAGTCAAAATCATATTTGCGACGGTAGCTTCCTGTTAATAGGATCTTTTGTTGAGTCGTTTGAAGAGGATCTTTCGCTGAAAATAGAAAGGCCAAACAAGACTTCTTTCCTCCTCATGTGCTGCTTTCAAAGCCAAGAAAACAAAGCCTGGCTTTGTCGGAACAGATCCATGGCATCAACTTGAAACCCATCCAATGCAACAACAATCATGGCGGAAGAGCCACACATTGCTCAACCCATCAACCAAGGGCGTCGAATTCTCCCGTTGGTGGTACTGCTCATCATTACCACGGCAGTCAACTTGGCTCTCATAGGAGCCCCTCTGTTGCGCCACCAAGATCATCATCAAGATCCCTCGGCATCTCCCACCAACAAGGATCTGTCATCCTATCCAGCCCACAGGGACAACTATGAAAACGAGGAAGAACGACGGGATCTCTCGGCAATTCCAACCAATAATGGGACTGATGAGCAAGATATTATCTTGAGACTGTCGTGTCCCACGGAACTGGAATCGTCCCTCGAATTCTCCTTTCCGTCTCCATCCATCGATCATCCGACACATAATACTTCTGCTGCTGTGTCCAAACGATCCACTCCTTCGAGTTACTGGATCGAATTGACCAAGTCGTCCAATGACACGCTATGCACTCTTGTCCAGGTCCATGTCAACAGTGTCGGAGAGACATATCTACAACCCATTGCCCGCTCCTATGACAACTTTAATTGGGAAGTTACGGCCGGTCCCTACGTCAACCATCTCCAACCCTTTCGTTGTTTCAGCAACAACAATAGGTGTCAAATCAATTTGGATGTTGCTGTACCCAATAATAATCCGAACCAAGCCATCTTTCAACTTACCACCTTTGGACGGCCCAGCTATTACTCGAGGCGCACCGAAATTGCTCGATTCCTTGAACAGGCCACCTTTGGAGCTACGCGTGCAGAAATCGGACGTATTGATAATAATCATTCCAGCACTACGACGCCAAACAACAACGGTAATGCAACGCTGATGCAACAATTTGCCGATTGGGTCCAGGATCAAATGGATCCCGACAAGCACCCCATCATGAGCCACCGGGCCATTTTTCGACGGCACCTCAATGCCCGATTCGAATCCGCCTCTAGCTTGGGAGCTGTGACCGCACCGTGTCAATCTGGCACTCGGTACCGACGCATGGCCTTTTCGGAAAAGGATATCAACAAACGATTGACCGTGTCCTACTTTTTGGGCCCGCATACAAATACCAGCAGCAGTATTACGAGTCAGCAGCAACCTCCTTCTTTTGTGATGCTCCGTGTCGATGGTCAATTCCGAACCGTCGTGCGTGCTCCCATTTATCGGTGGAATGATGAGGCTGACAGCAACAACAATGATGGTGCACAACCACAAGATTGGCCCGATGGAAGCTACAGAATATGCTCCATTCAGTACAATGGCAAACGCGTGGGTATGACAGTAGAGCATCCTACCGAAGGTTGCATTGCCATGGTCTTTGGAGATCCGCAATCCTCCATACAGAAATGGACCAATCCACCAGTCTATGGAGCCAACAACACCACCAACTCCACTAACAACGTTTCACTGACCGTTCTGGAAATACCCCTCGAGAGTGCCTCTGTGATTGACGAACGCTACTTTCCAGAAGAGGGAACCATGCCATCAAACAACGAAATCATTCTACAAACCAATCTGACCCACACGGAATGTGCTAGTTTGCGAGAATCGCGAAACGGAGAACGTCAAGAAGCCGTGTTTGCACTCTGGAATGGCTCCTATTACATTCACGATCCACGGTTCCAATTGCTGAGCAATACCCTCGACAATCCACTGCCCGATGGAGGTGGCACTGTAGCCCAAGACAATCAAAACACTTTGCTCTACGATGCATTCTCGGCCCGGTGCGCCAACACCCCCAGAACCTTTTTGAATGAACACGAGTGTGTTCTGTCCAATCATTCCAATGCATGCCCGTATGATGTGTCATCCAATGATGATCGCGTCGCACGCTACTTTCAAGTCACGCCAAGGGCGCTCCGGGCAATCTACCAAGTCACTCGTGACGATCCAAGAGCAGAGACAGCGTTCTTGTACGCCATGGAAGGGTTGGATATTCAACGTGATCCTCAAGTGACCGCTCCCTGCGTTCCCGGTTCTCGATCGCGGTGGTTGTCGGTGCCATGTTCCAACAATGCTCGGTTTACCGATGTCAATGAAACTACAGCAACCGTGTTGGCCCGACAGTTGTCACGGAATGTTTGGCGTGAAATGTCGGACCGTCAAGCCGCTGGAGCGGCGCAAGACATGAGTCCACCGATTTTACTCGACGTTTGGCGCGCCAGAACCAATCTTCCAGACGAAACGTGTCATGCCGCCGATCTGGACACGAAAGGCTTTGAAGTTCCAGACATTCGGCGACCTCGTCGCTGTTGGAAGAATGTTCATCCAGATCATTGGAACGTGTACGACTTTACATATTGGGTACGGAATCACCCAGGCAATTCCGACACCCACAATCCCATCCGAGAACCAGCCGAAGCTGGCAATACGACACTGAGATTCCCAGACTGGCATGAGATGACACGATGGCATTCGGTCAAGAACCGTCTTTCAGGTCCTGCGCGGTTGGGAAGTTTCTTTGATTTTTTTGAGCTACCCCTGGAACTTCGCACGCAGCAAATAGCTCAAGCATTGGGAATCGATCTCGCTTCGATTGCCACGGAGGAGGAATCGCGGGGGCCTTCAGGCAGCAGGACTCTGGTGTGTGGCAGTCCCTTCGAGGTTGCAAACGAACCATCTCTAGGTGGCAGTGCCATCAACAAAGGTGCATTCGATGCCTCCACGGTTTACTTGCGATCGACAACATCGGCTGACCTGGAGCTACAACGACGCGCCGTCTGGATCAAGGCTGTGCTTGAAGACCCCGGACAGTTACGGCAACGCGTCGCTTGGGCTTTGTCACAGCTGCTAGTCATTTCTCCCGCGACCCCGCGCTCGACAGAATCCTATTTGGCGTTCTATGACATCATGGTACGACAAGAGTCCTGCATGGTGGTGGTGTCCTTGGTGTTTTCGTCTCCTTCCATCTGAACAAATCTCTTGCTTCGTCGATTAGGTCCGGAATGCATTTGGCAACTACAGAGACGTCCTCAAAGAAACCTCGTACTCGGCAATGATGGCACACATGCTGACTTACGAGGGAGGCCGTTCTACTGCAGCCGTCTGGTCAAGGGAGGGAACCCTCGCTTTCGCCGACGAGAACTATGCGAGGGAGGTGATGCAGCCGAGTACGAGGTTTCTTTGAGGACGTCTCTGTAGTTGCCAAATGCATTCCGGACCTAATCGACGAAGCAAGAGATTTGTTCAGATGGAAGGAGACGAAAACACCAAGGACACCACCACCATGCAGGACTCTTGTCGTACCATGATGTCATAGAACGCCAAATAGGATTCTGTCGAGCGCGGGGTCGCGGGAGAAATGACTAGCAGCTGTGACAAAGCCCAAGCGACGCGTTGCCGTAACTGTCCGGGGTCTTCAAGCACAGCCTTGATCCAGACGGCGCGTCGTTGTAGCTCCAGGTCAGCCGATGTTGTCGATCGCAAGTAAACCGTGGAGGCATCGAATGCACCTTTGTTGATGGCACTGCCACCTAGAGATGGTTCGTTTGCAACCTCGAAGGGACTGCCACACACCAGAGTCCTGCTGCCTGAAGGCCCCCGCGATTCCTCCTCCGTGGCAATCGAAGCGAGATCGATTCCCAATGCTTGAGCTATTTGCTGGGTGCGAAGTTCCAGGGGTAGCTCAAAAAAGTCAAAGAAACTTCCCAACCGCGCAGGACCTGAAAGACGGTTCTTGACAGAATGCCATCGTGTCATCTCGTGCCAGTCTGGGAATCTCAGTGTCGTATTGCCAGCTTCTGCCGGTTCTCGGATGGGATTGTGGGTGTCGGAATTGCCTGGGTGATTCCGTACCCAATATGTAAAGTCGTACACGTTCCAATGATCTGGATGAACATTCTTCCAACAGCGACGAGGTCGCCGAATGTCTGGAACTTCAAAGCCTTTCGTGTCCAGATCGGCGGCATGACACGTTTCATCTGGAGATTGGTTCTGGCGCGCCAAACGTCGAGTAAAATCGGTGGCCCCATGTCTGGGCGCCCAGCGGCTTGACGGTCCGACATTTCACGCCAAACAGCCTGTGACAATTGTCGGGCCAACACGGTTGCTGTAGTTTCATTGACATCGGTGAACCGAGCATTGTTGGAACATGGCACCGACAACCACCGCGACCGAGATCCGGGAACGCAGGGAGCGGTCACTTGGGGATCACGTTGAATATCCAACCCTTCCATGGCGTACAAGAACGCTGTCTCTGCTCTTGGATCGTCACGAGTGACTTGGTAGATTGCCCGGAGCGCCCTTGGCGTGACTTGAAAGTAGCGTGCGACGCGATCATCATTGGATGACACATCATACGGGCATGAATTGGAAGATTGGACAGAACACACTCGTGTTCATTCAAAAGGTTCTGGGGTGTTGGCGCACGGGCCGAGAAGCTCGTAGAGCAAAGTGTTTTGATTTCTTGGCGACAGTACCACCTCCATCGGGCAGTGGATTGTCGAGGGTATTGCTCAGCAATTGGAAGCGTGGATCGTGAATGTAATAGGAACCATTCCAGAGTGCAAATACAGCTTCTTCTCGTTCTCCGTTTCGCGATTCTCGCAAACTGGCACATTCTGCGTGGGTCAAATTGGTTTGTAGAATGATTTCATTGTTTGATGGCATGACTCCCTCTTCTGAAAGTACCGTTCGTCAATCACAGAGGCACTCTCGAGGGGTATTTCCAGAACGGTCAGTGGAACCATCAGACTGGTGTTGGTGATGTTGTTGACTCCATAGACTGGTGGATTGGTCCATTTCTGTAGGGAGGATTGCGGATCTCCAAAGACCATGGCAATGCAACCTTCGGTAGGATGCTCTACTGTCATACCCACGCGTTTGCCATTGTACTGAATGGAGCATATTCTGTAGCTTCCATCGGGCCAATCTTGTGGTTGTGCACCATCATTGTTGCTGTCAGTTCATCATTCCCACCGATAGATGGGAGCACGCACGACGGTTCGGAATTGACCATCGACACGGAGCATCACAAAAGAAGGAGGTTGCTGCTGACTCGTAATACTGCTGCTGGTATTTGTATGCGGACCAAAAGAATAGGACACGGTCAATCGTTTGTTGATATCTTTTTCCGAAAAGGCCATGCGTCGGTACCGAGTGCCAGATTGAC